GTTTGTTTGCAAAAAATAATGGTTACACTGAAATGCCAGCCAATAACCACCTGCAGGAAATGCAAACCTCCAACGTGTAAACCAGTAACAGTGAAAGTTCACAAGGTTATAATAACTACAACTAATTCAGACACATATATCTGAGCAGCTCCTTCAGTGGGAGACTGCGGCACCCACGGTGTGGGACGGAGAGATTTCGCAGGTCTTTCCTCCTCACTGCTGTCAGACTCCACAATAAAGACTTTTGCAGCTGATCAAACACACAAACCCACACATGTGCAATAAGACTGCTATATGTGCAATTCTTCTTCTGTTGTATTTTTGTATTTTCCTACTCAGTTGTATATAGTATTTGTATTTCTATTTTATTCTATTGTATATATTATTCTATTCTATTGTATATAGTATTTTATTTTATTCTATTGTATATGTTATTCTATTTTATTTTATTATATTGTATATAGTATTTTATTTTATTCTATTGTATTTTATTGCATTCCAGTGTTTTCTAATTTCTGCTACATAACTTTGCACTTTTGCTGTAACAAAACAAATTTTCCACCTGTGGGACTAATAAAGGTCATCTTATCTTATCTTATCTTATCTTATATTGATCTTAATAATACTAAGATTACACACATTTAACCACTAAAAAGTTAAAGGTTTTGTTCACTTAAATTAAAACAAACAAACAAAAAGAAAACTGTGCTACTTCGTGGGGATGAAGCTGTTCGAGTTTGGGGCAATTTCTTTATCAGTGAAAAGTAAAGGGTACAAATTCCATTCACATTCATTGTATTGAGACATTAGTAGAAACATTAGAGACAGAAATGATGTCGAGGCTTATTGCTAACAGAGGAAAGTAAGAAACCACAAAAGCGTCTTTACTTTGGTTACATCACCACAAAAATAGTTCATGTCCTTGTTAATGCAACGGGGATAAATCAGAATCTCACATCCACAACAACCTTCATCATACCTTCACGTCAGCGCGGGTCTTATCCGTCACCTCCATGACGAACTCGCAGCGTTTGCCGTTAGGCTGGCTGACCAGGTGGTGCAGGATGTGGAGGTCGACGGTGGCTCCCAGATTGTCGATGTTGGACACGAAGATGTACTCTTTGCCCTGCTCAATCAGCTGATCCAACAGGCCCGAGTTGTAGAAGCTGGCGTAAATGTCGCCGTGACCGGGAGGGTACCAACCCTCTGCGTTTTGCCCCGTCATTCTCAAGTTTGTGGACACGGGAAGGAGAGACTCTTTGTTGATGCGAGGGTACCTTGATGAAGAAAAAGAGTTCACGATAAGATCGGGGGTTATTTTTACGACCCGTTCCGGCTCAGTTTTTTCATCGTCCGTCATTTTTTTCCAGTCCCATCCAGTGGGCTGGATTGGAGTCTTTGACAGGCCAATTATGGCCCCCAGCCCTCATGTTCTAGACCAAACTGTGTACAAATATCAAATAATAAGGAGTACAAGATTCAGAAGGATGTACAAGACACAACACAATGACCCCGAGGTCTAACATCTCGACGTGTACATGTGAAATGACCTAAACTGTGGTGCATGCTATGGCGCCATGTATGTGCTACTGGCTTCATGTAATGTTGTTAAAACCTTAAAATCAAATTCCAGCTAACAGCTATCATTTTGACACACTGGAGCAGATCCAGCACATATTGCACACATGCAGGGAGTAGGAAGAGGAGCCTGTAGGGATGGATCTAAAAATAGAAGTATTCTTGGAAGTGTTTCAGAGGTGCACAAAGAAATGTCCTTCAACAGGAGAAAAATCAGAAAAGGTTGACTATATAAAGCACATCCTTTTCTTCTGTTGATGTGATTAAAGTCTATCTCCTTATGTAACTTATAATATGTATGGAAGGAAGAAAACAAGCTTGTTGACTCATTTATCTGTGGAGCTGCAGAGCTGTGAATCTCAGACTGTTAAGCAGACAAACACCACAAAGACAAAACAAAAAAGTGTGAAATCATTTTTGCTCCACATTTGACGCAAATCCTCGGAAACTCTGCACCAAGCCAGCATGCCAAGTGCTATCTAAATGTCTCCTTTTCATATCACTGCCCGGACTTCAAACCGCTCCCTCGACAAGCAAACTTTTTAGCTTTTTCCAAGAAGGCAGAGAAGGCAACACGCCAACGAGTCCAAGCCATGATGGCAGTGTGCATTAAAGTGATCAAAGGGCTTGTTCGAAGGATCTGAGTCAGGTTTAGTTAACAAACCTCAAGGTGAGGAGCCCGGTGAACATGAGCCGCCTGTGTTTTTAGCACTTTGAGGAAGCTTATGAGAGCTGGTCAGGTGAGACGAGCTGCAGGGTTGGGGTACCACGGCCCTTTTAATGGAAGATTAATTCTATCTGACTGTTCTGGGAAGATGTTTATGATAAGACTTTCTGATGAACGTTCACACACTTCAAAGGTTTCATGTCATCTTAAAACCAAATCTGGGAACATTTGATTACTTCCACAAAAAATGTTCCTCCTTTCTTGGACATGTGCTGCCTCAGAGGGAAGCGTCTTTCAGGGTACAAAGACATGGACAAGGAAAGAAGTCACTTCATGTATTCAACCATCTCATCTGGGAGTTCGTCCTTTCTGACTTCTCTCCTGAGGGATATGCTGAACGTTTATGGGTTTAACACCCGGAATAAATTTGTTATGTGGCTAAAGAGAAAAAAATGGGAAACCTAACCTGCATTTTTACATCAGCTTGACGACTCCTCTGGTTTCTGGTGCTCAGGCACGATTAAACCAGACATTCAAGAGGTACTCGCGCTGTCTGAAAACTACATCTAACAAATCCAATGTTTACATGACAGCTGATTTTGTCTTCCTGAAGACACTGAAGGAGGAATGATCATGGAAAGAAAAATCTAGAGCTTTGTTCAAAGGGACACCCAGTTATTATTTTAAGGCTTAATAGGAGCTTTAGTAAAAAGTAAAGCAAACCATGGACCAACACACACAGTTAAAATCCCTACTGCTTTGGGGAAGTGGACAGATTTCTTTTTTAAGAATTCAGTTTCACTTCAAAGTAAGTGAATTAGATGCCCTATATGGATAAAATAGCTACGCATGCCATGAGTCTCGTGAAACATGGTTTCTGTGCTGATGTTAATGCCAGAGGAGATCTGAAACTCAGTTATTCATTCAGCTGTGACTTTCGCATGTGTGCCATAACTTTACGTGGTCAGCCGCTGAGTTGCTGCTGTTCCTAAACGTGCCCACTTTGCAATAATGCCACTTACAGCACTAACAGTTGATTGTGAAATATCAACGAGGGAAGAAATTTCCCAACTGACTTGTAGCAACAAAGGCATCCTGTTACAGCACCACGCTCTGATTCGATGAATTCTTTTAGAACAACCGATATTTCTGAAGACAGCTGTTGTAACTTTATTGCAGTTTATTGTTTGATAACAGCATTTTGGTTATTTTGTAAGTGATTTAAGTGTTAGTCACATGTTTAGTGAGCGCTGTTAATTATAGATTTCATTTTCTGCTAAAGGGGAGCATTTAACAGTTATTTTCATTAGAAAACTGCGTTTCCCAGAATTCTTTGTGGTAGACGAAAGTTACTCTGGGGTTTTTAGCTAGCAAAGAAAGTTTTTGGGAAGCCATTATATGTTGCTCCGAATGCCGAGAAGTTTTTGTTGTACATTTCCCTTTTTGAAGCCTTATATAAAGACTATCGTTTCTACAACTGATGTCCGATCCATTTTTTTGCTAAGTGGATTCGCCACAACAACAGCCTGCATGGCTAGGTGCTTGATCTTATACAGATAGTGCAATGCAACTGCAGGAAAACAGAATTCAAACTGTTTATCACTATTACCAATTTGAGTTTTATTAAACACGAGGAAACCTTATTTAACCTGAAAGTGAAACTCTTGAGGTAAAGAATGTCTTTTTCTGGCTGACACGGGCACCATTAACCTGGCAGGTTTTTCAGTCTCAGGCAAAACCTGAAAGGCAAAATGCTTTGGGAGGAGAAACTCCGCACTAAAGGGCCCTACCCTGTTCTGTACCCTGGACCTTCTTGTTGCAGGGCAACAGTGCTAACCATTGATCTAAAATGTGATTTAAAATGTAAAAAAACTAGTGCATGGTGAATGTGGGTACGTTAGTATGCACAGCACATTTCTGAGAATGCATTTTACAAATCTTTAACACAAGTGGCAGAACAGGCTAGCTGTACATCTCAAGGTATGCATTTAGAGCAAACCTGATTTTCCAGCTCTGTGCAGGAACAGAACCTTCAGTAGACTTCTAGAACGTAATAGTCAAAACGAAACTTTCTTTTTTAGCCATTTACACTCGGCAGTACATACGTCTGTTCTTCCAAATGCATTCATGGAAAGGTGGAGGCAAGGTAATAAGCAGCAAGACCTCAGCACAGAACAGAGCTGGCATCAGCGCCAGTGAACATGACATGGATTCAGTTAAATACTGTATAAGAAGAGGAACTGGGATAGAGGTGAGCTGCAAACCAGTTCTTATAGGAAGCAGTTACTATATGCGGGCTAACGCACCTTCAGTGAAACCTCGTACCCTAGATGAGGTTTATCAGTTGCATGTGTAGAACAGTATCAGCTGGGCCATCAGCTGATTCCATGCTGGAGTCTATGTATTCTACTCTT